TTTCTCACAAATCCAAGAAAGGGATTCTCCTGAACTTGAAGGGCAATCTAACTTTCAAATCATAAGGAAAAATGGCTGAATTCGCATTTTACACGAAACTAAACTCTCTATATTTCTAAAAAAAATGAGATATTGTAATTGCTTTAATCCTTTACATATATAGTTCGGACTGTTGTCCCCGTATTCATTGTCATATTCCCGACGTTTCGGCCGTTTTACACTCCGGCCTTCTTCAGGAGATTGGAATTTCGAAGAGAACCATTTATTTCGTCTAGGGGGGGGTACATTGTTCTAGTTCCACGTGCCATGCCTCTTCTAGATGTCTCTGTTATCACCCTCTAACTCAACTCTCTAAATTTTTGTTCACCACTGCAGTAGCCAGGTATTGAAATCACACTTCTTTGGGTCAAGTTACGGGATCCAACCAACGCTTTTATCCACTGCTAATGTAAATAAATTAAACTGTTTACTTTTTCTGTAAGAACTTAGCTAACAATTTTTGTTCATCGATGCAAGTTGTTATTTACCATTTTTTTTTCCCTTCAGCACTCTCTTTTCGGATATTTGAGTGGGTTGGCACCCGGCTCAGATCATAAAAACTGTCAGTCTTTGTCTTTGAGATTATTTCCCGCGAAATATATAGTCATTTTTCTTTTTTTTACTAATGTTCACACAACACAACTGAAGGTAGAGGGGCACCAAATAATGTTGTGGGAGATAATAAATGCAGTTTATAAGGTTTGGTTTGGTTTACGGCATATCAACCTCAATGGGTTATTTAATATTTTATTGTTGGTAATATTTAAAAAAAAATCTATTTCTGGTAATATTTTCTCCTTTAAAAAATCTATTTCTAGTAATATTTTACCTACAAAAAGCCTATTTCTGGTAATATTTTACCTACAAAAAGCCTATTTCTAGTAATATTTTACCTACAAAAAGCCTATTTCTAGTAATATTTTACCTACAAAAAGCCTATTTCTGGTAATATTTTACCTACAAAAAGCCTATTCCTGGTAATATTTTACCTACAAAAAGCCTATTTCTGGTAATATTTTGTCTTCAAATATGTATCACTGGTAATATATTTTTCAAAAATGCATAGCTGGTCATAATTTTTATTTTTTTTCTTTACAAAGTATTTTTGGTATTAAAACCTATTTTTACATGCTCATAGTGTTTTGACACCAGTTTGGGGGTTAACTATTTACCCATAGTTGGGACCCTAACAGGTGCTACCACCCCAGGTCAGAGTGGACCTGGTAACATCATCAATTTAGAGGTGGTTCCATGCTCCTCAGAACCTCCTGATCAGAGGTCTTGCTGTTGGACGTAGTTTATAGTCTTACCTAGGACGCGAATGTAGTTTATCGTTATACACAGGACGGGGTTATAAATTAATGTAAGAGATATAACTATTAACCCCAAACCTGAAGATGTTTTGATGGTAGCGATTGGGAAAAAATCCAGTTAGGTGTTTGTTCCCCAATGTAGCAGTTCTAGGGAAGAAGATTTCCAAGTAGAAATTCCTTCCGAAAATAGAATAAGAATGGAATGAAGATGATTCGTCTACATGTACGTGGTATGGGTAGGGTTAACTGCAAAAATCAGCAATGATGGAACCAAGGCATATACCTTATCAGGACGTTTGTCATGGAAATAGATAGAATCTTGAGAGATTTGCAACCTTTCGTCTGTTGGAAAGGCTTCGTAGGGTGGACAATAATTAATTACCCACAGGGCCGCGTAGAATGGCAAGCGAGGAATGTGCAGCCTCGGCGAAGATATAGCAAGAATACTCATTTTTTTTCTGATCTGGCTCTTGTAAAGTTAGAGATTAGGAAGAAGAGTCAGATAAGTTCTGAACTGGTACAATGAACTGACCATTTTTCCAGCGTCTTAAGCGATGTTTCGTGTATTTGATTTCCATTGGCGTTCTACATTGGAATCTTTAAAGTAAGGCGAAATGGAAATATGTAGATAATAAAGATAAAGATACACTTATATAATGATTTTTAAGCGAAGGCCAAAAGAACAGTAATTTACTACGTGGCCGTTATATATAGTAAAGTAATTACTATGTAGCATAAGGCCAAAAGTAAGGCACACATAGTGAGGATCGAACTCACTACTCAATCGTGACTGCTACCATAACATGAACTTGAATTGTAACAACAAACGAACATACACACACACATATATATATATATATATATATATATATATATATATATATATATATATATATATTTATATATATATATATATATATATATATATTTTGTTGTTAAGTTGAATCCTCTTACAGCTTTGTAAAATTATTTGCCATGCGTGATACACGCGTAGGCGATAATGTATCGATACATGACATACATAGGTAGGGTGCCATTTCTTTCTGTGGTAGACCAGTTGCCATCCAAGGATTTGGTCTGTCCTGCTATTTACCTATAGCTAGGGGAAGAAGTAAATTTCGCAAGGGTAAGTGAATGTAATGGATTTGACTGGAGTTCGAACTCGGCTCACCTTTTCTTCAAACTGAGTCGCTATCTATTACTCCACCGTGACACATACTTCCCCACTTATTATTTACTGTGCATTTAGGATGTAACAACACTCCAAGAGGTCGTTAGGGTCCGTGTTGAAGGTCAGTTAAAGCCCTGATTGATCTATGTATATTTACTTCCTGTTCTGGCAATGTATATTTTTCGACAAATTCAGTTCATCACTTGTCAAAAATTACATTGTTAAGGGGTTTGCAAATAATCTATGACATTGGAATAAAATATTGCTATGAATGCGCCTTTAAATTTATGACGTGGGAAACGGACAGATATAAAATGGGAAACTGAAACACAAGTGAAAAAAAAGCACCAAACAAAATTATTTTTGGAGTTAACCGGTTTCTCTGCTCTCTTAACAAAATTCCATCGAGCATAATAACTCGAATCACGTGACAATCAAGAAACATTGATGCGAAAAATGCCAGTTATATATACAGTGTAACCCGGATATAAGAGAGATTTTATCTGGTCCCAAATTAGAATCTGTGTTAATGTATATAAAATAGACCAAACCCGGATATAAGAGACTTATTCACCGGTCCTGACAACTCTCTTATATCCGGGTTACAATGTAGTAACAAAATTAGGGCACATGGCACAGTGGATAAAAGCGTTAGATCCAGTGACAGGGCCCAAAGAGTGTGAGTTCAGTACCTGGTTAAGGCAGTGGAGATCTTGGAGAGGGAAATTAACAGGAGATAACTGATAACTGACATCCATCAAACATGGCACGTGGAACTAGAACAGTCTACCCCAGTGAGCGAAATAAAGGGTTTAGTTCGACATTCCAACCACCTGAAGAAGGCCAGAGCGTACAGCGGCCGAAACGTTGTAATAAATATGGCGACAAAGATGGGGACAAAAGTCCGAATAATGTAAATAATTAGGAAAAGGTTGACTTAATAATAATAAAGAGAAAAAAAATTGCCTACTAATCTGATATGGCTTTCCCAGTGCACTGTAACTTAGCAACCAAGGAATTTGAAAAACTAATGAAATATAAAGATCTGGAAAAGAAAATAGAAAAAAAAATGTGGAAATTGAAAACAAGAATAGTATCAATTATAGTAGGTGCTTTTGGAATCATAAAAAATGAACACAACAGCACATTGAAAAAATCGATGAAAATCCCAGCTTAAGAGAAATACAAAAAAAATGTCTTGATAATTACTGGCCACTCACGAAGAAGAAAATTGCCCATGTAACGCAAGTGATGTTATGAAATCATGAAATGAAGCCATAACATACCACTACCTGCCTGAGGTCTTCCCACAGACTTGGAAGGTATTGTGACCTTAGCAGAAATCGAAATATAATGACGATATATACTAAGACAGAGCTTAATTCGTCCTTGTTATAATTGACACATTAGAAACTATCTCCAAGAACCTGGATGCCTTTGAAAACGCGTTGACCACATTGGAAATGTGCAGGACTTCTCGAAACAGCTTATGTGCTGAAGGAAGTATTGTGCCTGTAAGCTGTCGAAAGGACTTAAATTACATCTGGCCGAAACATATAAAACTTGGAGAGGATCTAAACAATAATAATAATGTTAATAATAATAATAATATTTTCTTTGTCCCTTCTTTCGTTAGGTCATTGGTTCGTTCGCACGACCGTTACGCCCTCTCAATACTTTATAAAGAAGTGACTATTCCGTTTTTATCTTGTGGAAAGGGGGAGAATGACACTACTAGTTTTCAGTGAGGAAATGAAAGAAAGGGAAGAACGTAAAAGTGTTTGACATCTCCTGCCTATACCTCATATAAATAGACAATTCCGTTTTGATTGCGTGGGAAAAAAAAGAAAAGATATAAAAGAAACGCTACTTGGTTTCAGTGAGAATAAGACGCTAGAAGTGATTAACGTCTGTTTCAATGAAATAGAAAAAGTTGTCACTTTCAAATCTTTTCATTTGTATCCCCTTACGTCTTAAAATAACAACCAGCATTCATATTTATGATTTTTATTGCAATATTTTATTAAAGTTGATAAGCTCAAATATTTAACGATACGATTGGGGAAATTCTACGGAATTAATGTTATCCTACTTACCATGAGCTTATTCAATCATTAACTTAAGAATTAAAATTCATCAGAAAATTTAAATAGAGAAAACCGTGAAATTTTCACGGTTAATTCTAATAATAGTAATACATTGTATGTGACCACATGAAAACCTATAGAATTACCAACCCGTCGAGTACGAAAACATTTCAATAAAAACAATAAAGCTAAGGGTAATAGTTCGATTGTGTCGAGGAATAATCCTAAAATTACCTACCCCGCTATATGTTGATTTCCTCGTTTCATTTTCGGTTCCTCTCGTCTGAGCATGACGTTTCTCGGATTTTCATCAATTTTTGATCAACAGGATGATTGATCGTTACCGATGTCCATTTCCTTGGGAAAATGGAATCCGTATACAAAGAGTTGATGCTTTTTCGGAAGGGTCGAAATGACCTCACGCACCTCTTTCTCGATTCTTCTCCATCCTATTCCGTTTTTTTGCTATCTAACGCAGGCAAACATTTCCCGCCCACTATCCATTATCTTTCCCGCCATTTCCACCTCCTTGTCAGAATTTATGCTTGATTATATATATATATATATATATATATATATATATATCGAAATGTTTCCCATATCTATCCCATTCTTTTCATATCTGTCGAATTCACTTCATTCCGTTCATATCTATATATCCCAATCCGTTCGTATCTGTCCACATATTTCCTTCATTTCGTATTAATCTATCTATCTAAATTTGTTTATATCTTTCTGACCATTTACCTCAGTTCGTATCTATCTATCTATCTATGTTTATATGATCTTAGTTTGTTCATGCTTATCTATCTATATATCTACATGTCTGTGTTTATATCTATTTCAGTTTGTTCTCCCTATCTCCGTACGTTCATGCATATCTATCTGTCTATTATTATTTATCTCAGTGTTTCTATCTAGCTATCTATCTACCTATCTATTTATCTATTATTATCTGTGTTTCTATATATCTATTATTATTATTATTTATCTCAGTGTTTCTATCTATCTATCTATTTATCATTATTTATCTCAGTGTTTCTTTCTATCTATCATTATTTATCTCAGTGTTTCTATCTATCTATCTATCATTATTTATCTCAGTGTTTCTATCTATCTATCTATTTATCATTATTTATCTCAGTGTTTCTTTCTATCTATCTATCATTATTTATCTCAGTGTTTCTATCTATCTATCTATCATTATTTATCTCAGTGTTTCTATCTATCTATCTATTTATCATTATTTATCTCAGTGTTTCTTTCTATCTATCTATCATTATTTATCTCAGTGTTTCTATCTATCTATCTATCATTATTTATCTCAGTGTTTCTTTCTATCTATCTATCTATCATTATTTATCTCAGTGATTCTTTCTATCTATCTATCATTATTTATCTCAGTGTTTCTTTCTATCTATCTATCTATCATTATTTATCTCAGTGTTTCTTTCTATCTATCATTATTTATCTCAGTGTTTCTATCTATCTATCATTATTTATCTCAGTGTTTCTTTCTATCTATCATTATTTATCTCAGTGTTTCTTTCTATCTATTTATCATTATTTATCTCAGTGTTTCTTTCTATCTATCTATCATTATTTATCTCAGTGTTTCTATCTATCTATCTATCATTATTTATCTCAGTGTTTCTTTCTATCTATCTATCATTATTTATCTCAGTGTTTCTTTCTATCTATCTATCATTATTTATCTCAGTGTTTCTTTCTATCTATCTATCTATCATTATTTATCTCAGTGTTTCTTTCTATCTATCATTATTTATCTCAGTGTTTCTATCTATCTATCATTATTTATCTCAGTGTTTCTTTCTATCTATCTATCATTATTTATCTCAGTGTTTCTTTCTATCTATCTATCATTATTTATCTCAGTGTTTCTTTCTATCTATCTATCATTATTTATCTCAGTGTTTCTTTCTATCTATCTATCATTATTTATCTCAGTGTTTCTTTCTATCTATCTATTATTATTTATCTCAGTGTTTCTTTCTATCTATCTATCTATCATTATTTATCTCAGTGTTTCTATCTATCTATCTAACCATCATTATTTATCTCAGTGTTTCTTTCTATCTATCTATCATTATTTATCTCAGTGTTTCTATCTATCTATCTATCTATCATTATTTATCTCAGTGTTTCTTTCTATCTATCATTATTTATCTCAGTGTTTCTTCCTATCTATCTATCATTATTTATCTCAGTGTTTCTTTCTTTCTATCTATCATTATTTATCTCAGTGTTTCTATCTATCTATCTATCATTATTTATCTCAGTGTTTCTATCTATCTATCTATTTATCATTATTTATCTCAGTGTTTCTTTCTATCTATCTATCATTATTTATCTCAGTGTTTCTTTCTATCTATCTATCATTATTTATCTCAGTGTTTCTATCTATCTATCTATCATTATTTATCTCAGTGTTTCTATCTATCTATCTATCATTATTTATCTCAGTGTTTCTTTCTATCTATCTATCATTATTTATCTCAGTGTTTCTTTCTATCTATCTATCATTATTTATCTCAGTGTTTCTATCTATCTATCTATCATTATTTATCTCAGGGTTTCTATCTATCTATTATTATTTATCACAGTGTTTCTAACTATCTATCTATCTATCTTCGTATATATTATAAAATGTTACGTTTCGAAGAGTATCATATTTTCTTTCATTAAAATCGATTGTCTCTATTTTAAGAGCATTACTAACAAGTCTGATAATCTCTAAAATCTGAAACTCTTACGAAACCTTTATATTATTTGAGTGACAAAATGTTAATCTTCTCCATTTCACAATCAGAATTCTATCTCTCGGATGTATGGGGGATTAACAAATGATTGCCATGAATATAATCATGTAATTTTCCTTGAAATAAGACCGTATTTTTACGTAAAATCTTACCGAAAAAATACGTCTGTTGTATGCGAAAAAAAAGCAATCACTTAACTTACTTCGCTTTTTATTTATGTGTTTTCTCTTTGTATCGAAATACGCAAAAACACTTTTCAGAGATTAAGAGCGACAAATATCTTCAACTCTATATAAATTTGCAATCCGTCTGTGTTTTCTAGAATGATTTCGGCAGAAAATACTAATAGGCATCTAAAGCGATGTGACTCGCATTGACTGATGACTAGCTTGGACCGGCTCCGACCAGCTATGTCAAGCCAAGACAACCTATGACTAGCTTAGACCAGCTTTGACCAGCTTGCATAAGCTACAACCAGCTAAGACCAGCTTAGACCAGCGGCCCGAGTGAAAACACTTGGGTCCACACGTTACAAACTGACCTTGTGTCACAACCTGACTCAGTGTGTGTGTGTGTGGGGGGGGGGGTAAAGTAAATATATACACGTGTGGTCTGTCGTCGAATAGGCACGAATCGGCGAGTGGTCGCTTAAGGCTCATCACAAAAACTAAATGGATGCAGTTATATGTGTTTATGCTCTCAACTTACATTTCTTCATCCATTTAGTTAGGCAATCTCTTGGGCTACATCCGGCCTGTCAATTTAACACCTGGACATTAGGGATCTAATTAATTTGCGGAGAAAGTTGCAGGAAAAATATCAGTTGTAGTTAATCGACTTACAACACGACGAAGTTTTTAAATCAAAATTTAATTCTTAATCCAATGCTGATTTTTACAAGAAATATGTTTTGCCAAGCTGAAAACATAAAAGCCTGTTGCATAATGGAAAAATGATGGTATCATAATTTGGAAGTACATATGCTTGTGAGCAACGTTTTTCCTAAAATGAAATATACTAAATGCTGTTTAAGAACAAGGTTGGATGCTGACCAGCTGGATAATGTTTTGCTTCTGTCATCGACAAATATTTCACCTGATGTGGAGAAATTATGGAACAATAAGCAGAAACAAATCTCTTATTAAATAATTCGCCGATTCTAATTGTATTATTTCTTTGTAGTAAGGATTTTGTATTTTTTGTTGATTGTGTTAGCAGTTATCCTCTTATTCATTGGGTACCTTGGCGTGGTGTAATGGTTAGCATGCTTGCCTCGCTAAAACAGTTACGACTGAATAGTGAATTCGATCCTCACTGGGTGCTCCACAATTTCGGCCTTGTATCACATCTAAGCTACGCTTAGAAAATCAGTAGGGCACCATGGCGTGGAGTAATGGTTAGAAAGCGTGTCTTGCTAGATCAGTTACGACTGAAAAGTGAGTTCGATCCTCACTGGGTGCTTCACACTTTCGGCCTTGGGCCACATCTAAGCTACGCTTAAAAAATCATCGGACACCTCGGCGTGGACTAAAGGTTAGCAAGCTTGTCTTGCTAGATCAGTTATGACTGAAAAGTGAGCTCGATCCTCACTAGCGCCCCACACTTTCGGCCTTGTGCCACATCTAAGCTACACTTAGAAAATAACTATCCTGTTATTCTTGCAGTAAAATAAGGAGCCTTGTTTAAATAATACAACATTAATTTCGCTGTTTTTTTTCTTTAAACGTTCAGACCAGGGCAGCTTTAGCTGTCTAAGTTTGAGATAATTTATTATAGAACATTTGATATCATGCCCACCCCTACGAGACACTGCATTGCTTTCTGACCCGCACTCTCCAAAAGGTTGCCGATCCCTGGTTTAGGGGATGGTCACATCATCTGATTCGCCAGAATCCGACGTTTTCTTAAGTAAAATGTGGCGTGTTGGCTTTTTCCAGCGAACAGCTGAAGTACCGGTTGTCAGAAATTTAAAAAAAAAAAAAGGACATATCTTCGTCTCTGCCCAACAGTGTACTGAAATTGACAAGAGTAGATGTAAATATACACAAATGTCTTTGTTTTTTCTTTCATCCGCTGGAGATAAGTGACAGTTAAAAATGACAGGCTGTTGAAGAAACAAGGATAAGAGCTTTCATTGCAACAAAACAGAATTAGTCTTACAGCAAACAAAGTCAAGTGGACCCTAAATTATTTATTTTTTATTTGCGTTTTTGATGTCTAGTATGTTTATGTCCAGAAATGAAGTCAAAGTAATTTCTTCTGAGCGGCCTCCACACTGATGAAAAAGAAATAAAATAATAAATAAATAAATGAAAAAATTCGGGGGCAAGTACTAATTAATCGGAATTTAAAACTTTCTGCTCGCAGGCTTCGATAAACAATGTCAGAATTGATTTTAGCGACTGCCCATCGAGAAAGTTCTTAAAACCGCCGGTTGGACACTACAGGTGGCTCGTCAGACTGAATTCAAATACAACCAGTTGGCGGGGTACAGGCTGCCCGTCAGACAGCATTCAAAAGAAGCATGTTGTGATGTAGGGGTGGTACGATAGAATCAGAGTTATGGTCGCTTGAATGATACGTTAGTCTGTCATGACAGGAGAAAGGCATTTGCCCCTAAGTGAAGGAACTCGGCTCTCCGATTAACAATTGCGAGTCATTATCCATTAGACCAACCGTACACAGCTTACAGCACTGAGGGTGACCCATCTAAATACTGAACAAACTCAATGTTGCTTAACTTCGATGATCGTACAGCAATCGGGGTTTCAACGTGATGTACATGTAAGCTTTTTTCAGAAAGATTTTGCGTAGGCTCGTAAAATTAAAAAAAAAAACATATCGCCATTAAAATCAATTCACCCCAAGCAAGACGGTAAAACCACTAAGACTGGGCGTGATAGAGAATAATAATACTTTAGAAGAAACCGGAAACCCAATCCTAAAGAGGAAACAAAGGATAAACCTCTACTCCTGCTCAAAAGACCGGGAAGGATTGTGAACCGGACGATAGACGAACCTATCTATCCCTATTAAATTTATCAATTTAGAAGAGAGGTATGTGAGCAACGACAAAGCTTTTGAAAAAATGGAAACAAAGAAAAATGTTACCTAAGATCAGGAAGAGACAGTTGAAATTACGAGGCAGAAAAAGGGCTTAGAAAATCTGATACTCATAAGGCAAGAGGAAAACAACGCATAAAACCCTTAGTGAGACTGAGTAAATGAATGGCAGAACCAGGTATAGGAGAAATGACAAAAATAAATTCATTAAGTGCTACAAAGGAAAAGAAATGGTGGAGTGCCATGATCGCTTGCGTCCGAATAGGGCACGGCTCATAAAGAAGGTACAGTTCATAACATCGATACAGCTTCAAATCAATCCGTGTCACTTACAGAGCCATCTGCACTTAGGTTTTATTTTCATTGAAAATATTCGTGCATCATTTATATATACATTACTGTTCAAATGTTTGAGAACATTCCCAGAATTAGCTTGGGAGGAATTTCAAAGAAAAGTAAAACTTTTCCATCCTAAGAATGAAAAACTGCTCTTAGAATCATTGAAGGAAAATGGAATCAGTTATCAAACATGTACTTTGAGGAAGTTTTGCAACGAATGCCAAAAATTTGTGCTATAGTAATCAAAGAGGATATTTTGATGAGTGTAAAATTTAATCATAAAACGCTTTTTTTAATTGTATCTCTTTTCTTTAACCATGTATAATAATTTTTCTTATTTAAAGTAGAAAACAACTACTTTCTGGGTCAATTAAAAGAAAAAAAATGTACTGTAGTGTATGTATGAAAACAGATTTTTCGTTTTTTTATTTTGCAAAAAGATTTCTTTTAAACAACAGTGGAATATCTACTTTTTTTTATTGTAGCAATCTGGCTGTTAAAACCATTGCCATCCTTGAAAATAATATATTTTAGCTACTGAAACGAAACATATTTTCATCGAATGAGTGCGAAACCGCTCGAATGAAAAGACGATAATACAAATGAGATAAGTAAGATGAAAGGCATATAAAAAAAAGTTAATATGTAAAAATATGTGATAAAATGTATGTGATAAGTAAAAATAAATACGAACTGAAAGAATAACAAAATGTTTTCAAAGATTTCCCGCCTTTTCTTCATGTCTCCATTCATCTGTATTCTCTGTTCGGCCATTATTTCTTAAATTCCGAAAGCATAATTCAGTCTCCAATGTATTTAATCTTTAGAAAGATCTAAATACGGTCTCTCTTGGAGCCACGTGGACTGTCACGTATTCATTCAATGCGGACCAGTATTCGTGCAGCTCAAGGTATTTTAAAACTGTCTTTATTTCTCGATCAGTCATCATTTCCTGGTTTGTGTGTCGCCCGGATTTTCTTGTCCATCAAAATAGATTATGCTTCGCCATTTTTCCCTCTGAGTTAGACGTATAACAGTTAACGTTTTCGTTTGGCCAGCGAGTACAAGACGAGTACAAAATCGTTTGCTTTGTCCGGTGGAAGAAGGATTCCAATTCTAGGTTTATGTAAATAGAAGCCTGCTAAGAATAAGTGATTTTTCTCTCGTTTAAACATGCTAAAGCATATTTTCACTATTCACATTGCTCTAAATGTTGACTTTGTTGCAATGCCCACGATTTTTCGGCTGTTGTACGCACCGGCCTTCTTCAGGTGATTTGACTTTCGAATTGAACAGGTTAAATGGAATCTGTAGGTATTTAGACCTTAGATTACGTATGTAGCACCTTCAAAAAGGAGATTTTTAAATTTAAAGACGCTCCTAAACTCAACTCTTTATTCCGTCCACCGGAGTAGATTGTTCTAGTTCCACGTGCTATGCCTCGTCCTAAA